ATTAGTCAAATAGGAATGAAACCAGTCTAAGGCTGTACCAGAAACAACAACCCAGTTCTGTAATCTATCAAGTGAAATGGATCGATGGTATCAAAGGCCGCAGTCAGATCAATAAGAATAAGGATGGAGCTTTAACTATTGTCAACATGCATAAAGATGTCATTATACACTCTCAGTAATGTTGTCTCTGTGCTATATATAGGAACTGTTTGTTACTAACAGACTTAGAAAGTTAATATTTTATTAAAATACATTTTCAAGATATAAAACACCAAGATTTCAGACAGTTACATTTCTGTCAACAACACCCTCATTTAGTTAAAGCTTCCTTTACCACAGTAATAATATACATTCTTTATTTTTAATGCCCACAATTACATTTTTAAGCCAAAATTCAGACCATTACAAAACATTTTATTCTGTTCAATTTAATATAATGTAGTCTCCAGTAAGTTTAATCTTTATATAACTGAGCTGATATAAAAACATACAAAAGAAGCAGCAGTGCATTTATATACATTTCATTTTAAAAAGAAAAAAATAATAATTTGAAAGAAAGAAGTAAAACACAGGATGCAAATATATTACAGATGTTAGAAAGTGGAAGTCACAAGACACAGAGAAGATCTTTCCACTGTTAAAGAACATTTAAACATAAAAACAAGTAAAGAACAGTAAAGAATAAAAAAGTAGGAAAACATTAATATAAAATCAGCTGTTAACATTAATCTTTGTTTATATTCTCTGTGTTGAACTGAAAGATGAATCTTAAACAGGTCTTTTAGTGTTGGTTCTTTCATAAATGTCTCCATATTTCATCCTATCTGCCTTCACTCTGTCTCTACAGTCTTGAAGGGTTCTGTATCACTAAACATTTTATTATGGTACAAACAGCTGTTGTCGAACACTTCCTGTTGGAGACAGTGTTTTTGGGCTGTAGCTTCTCTTTTTTTTAACAGTAGATGTTCCCCGTTGCCTTAACTCGTTCTCTTGCTGCATTAAAGGTGTTTTGGACCTTCAGATAAAAATAAAACATTAATCAATTTTATTAGTCAGAAGCAACAAAACATAAATATAATAAAGTAAATGAATGAATTTTCTTACTCAGTGGGTCCAGTGGGTTTTTGTGGTGTCTTGATCTCTTCAGGGTCTCTGTGTGACAGACTGAAGGTTGAATAAAAGTCAGTGCTGAACAAACATTGATCAATTATATATTTATGGGTTTTGTCTGAAAAGATCTCAGTCAGTCATTGACATATTAACTGTGAGACGCTGGTATTAAAACAACACAGATGTTGAGTTCAAATTAAAAAAATTACCTGTTTTGATGATTTCTTTTGAGCAGGAATGTGATGACTGCAACACAAACACAACCAAAGGCCACTACCACAGACAACACAATGATCCAGGTGAAATCTGTGAGAAAAAGTTAGTGATAAACACTCAACATTCATATAGAAACTACAGATCAAAATGTAATAATGACTTGCGAACACTTAGAGGTTAACTTACTGCGATCTCTGTCTTTAGATCCAGATTTATCATTAAATCCTAAAAAAAGAAACAAAAAACATCAGAATCATAAAGTATTGATCAGTCTCTGAATGTGTATGTTTGGAAGTGTTTCTCACCATCAGCAGACAACTGTTTGACCTCAGGAATCATCATAAACACCTCTATGTGAGGACCAGAGAGCACTCGCGCTGCACATCCAACCTCTGGGCTGTTGCCACGGAAACCAGACAGCACAGCTGTGGTGGTGACAGCGACTGTACCGTTGGTGTTGGTGACACTGACAGAGCTGTAGTTTGAGAAGTGGAGGTCTTGTTGCAGGACTCTTAATGTTACTGTGGGAGCAGGTCGACCTGTGGCCGAGCAGGACACAACTGCCTCTTCAGAAGAGTTTGATTCTCTAACATGTAGGATGGGTTCATGCAGCTCTGCACAGGACACACAGGGACACACAGGGACACACAGGACACACAGGGACACACAGCACATTAATTACATCAGAATGATTATTAAATATAATACACATTTCCATTACTTTTTGTAGATCTGCTGCCTTGATACAGTTACTGATGTGAGTGGCAAGTAAAGTAGATAGCGCCCTCTGCTGTATGAATATTTAAAATGTTCTTACCATAGACCTGGAGACAGGTTATAGCAGTGAGAGCACCATCAGGGTAGGTGTTGAACAAACAACGATAGTATCCTTTATCTTGATCTGTGAGGTTCCTGATAACTATGGAGTTGTTCTGCAGTCCAGCATCTCTAAACTCCACATTATCAATAAAGTCAGGATTCACTCTTGGACCAAAGTATCTGTTGAAGGTGGCAACATTTTCCTCTTTCTCAGGTGAAACTTTCTGCCATGTGACTTGAAGAACATCTTTAGACTGACTCAGCTGACAGTTTAAGCAGGCTTCATCTCCCACTGCTGCCAGCACAGTCTGCTGTGTCTGTACCAGAGCTGTTAGACCTGCAGGAGAAGATGGTTTCAGAGGTGAGTGTAAAGCATATTTATGGATAATCAAATTTAAATAATAATGATAATTGTAACATTTTCTGTTCGTTTTCTTCTGGATGCATTATTCTTCTGTAGCTCAAGTTGAAATATTAATCAGAATTTGCCAATTTTACCATCAACCAGCTCAAACGTGTAAAATAAAACATTGTAAATGTCTTTCCTGCACAGTTTAGATCTTTATATCTTTATCCTTATCTTTATTTATTTATATTTAAATTTTTTTGGTGTGCTTTTTATGCACCAAGACAAATTCCTTGTACTTGGCAATATAATAATATCTGATTCTGATGAAGCGCCAACAACGTGGTTAACTTAACTGCTGAATTACAGTAAACAAAGAACAATAAAGTCTCAGTTTAATTAAAATCATTTATTTATATAAAATGACAGAAACACAAAGTATTAATCTTACCTTTCTGAAAAACTCCAAACGCACAAAATAAACATAAAACTGCAGGTTGTGTCATCTTTACTGAATCTACCGCCAACTCATTCAAACTGAAAGCTGTCACTGTACGTTAACTGCGTGCGCACTTCCAGGTAATCGCTGAGGGGGGAGGCGGGTGTCATAGAAACAACTATTTACCAACAATGTAGAAACACGAGCTTTTACGATACAATGACAACATTTAATATATATACAATAAAAGACTGTTATTCAATATGGTGAACTAATTCGCTCGTTTGAAATGCGACACAAACAGCAAGTGACGCTTATCACCCCTCATACAACACAATGGTACATCCCAACTCAGAGATTTGGATTAGTTAATAATTAATATATTGCTCTCTGACCTCTCAGTGCACTGAATGAGATATTCCCGCGTAATAAAGTTCAACTTAAGTGGTGTAAATCTTTATGTGTGCAGGTTTAACAAAATAAAATTATAATAAATAAATCAATAAAACGTAATAATACCATTATGATTTATTATATTAGGTCGATAGATATTCCTGGATTTAGTGACTGAAAGCTAATTATATTTTTATTGTCATTTACAGATCCAGAATAACAAAAACAACTCCAACCAACCTGCTTCCCTCCGTGATGTATCCACACTTCCACAGTAAATATGAATAAACAGCGACCTCCATGTATCTGAACTTCAACTTAATGTGAATCATTAACTATACAGACGCCATCCTGTGGCAGCACTTGGTATCACCAGTAAAACTATAGTCAAACACTTTGTTGTGGATATTATAAAAGATACTAAAGTCCCAAGAAAAGGTTTAATCAGTCAGGTTAACTACAAACACCTGTGTGGGTGTTCACAGGCTTTAATATAGTTATATATTAAAACATATGATTATATTTTTATTACTTATTGATCTATTTTATTTTGTTTTACAAGAAGCATAAAGAGAACTATAAATTATTTTCATTATTCAACCCTGAGTTGAAAATGACAATGAAAAATAACTGAACATTAACTTACTGCGATCACTGTCTTCAGATCCAGATTCATAATCAAACAGCATCTAGAACAGGGATCAACATTGGCAGCAAAAACTCATCTCACTGGCAATGATGTTGGTTTATTCTGTTTCTCTCACTTGGACTCGGTCTTAACTCGTCCTGGTCTTGGACTCAGCAAAGGTTGTCTTGACTACAGCACTGCTATTATGCAAGTAAGTGAAAAAAGATATATAAAGTATATGAAGCATCAATGAACAACAGCATACAGTGTCGATATACCACTTTACATGTGGTCCAGAGTGCTATAATAATGCAGGCTATAAGTAGTAATAATAAAAATAAAAATATTAGTAGTTCGAGCTGCTTTTGTTCCTTGGTTTGACACATTTCAACACATTTTCTTGCTATTACCTGCTCAACATGATAAAAAACTTCTCATTCTTAGTGCACTCAAACCTTGTTTTCACTATAGAAACACACTATATATATATATATATATATATATGAAAATACCTGTAGCCATCACAGTCAGTCCTGAACAGAAAATGACTTCAATGAATTTAAACTCCATATTACATTATTTATTTACAATGTTATTTACAATGTTATTTACAGGTGTTCAGGAGCTATAAAGGCAATTTATAAGAACAATATACAAAAGAGTGAAGAGTGATGAAATGGAAAGATGCAACATAAAAATAAATATGTAATAATGTGATCAGTGGATATTAAAATAAAAGTAAGTTGTAATTGTAAACAATATTTTCAATATAACACATTCATTGCATTACTGAGAATACTTTAAATTATAATAACAGGCAACATTTATATACAATTCATTTTAAAAAGCAAAAAATATGATGCAAATATATTACAGATCTTTACGCTGTCGAGAACATCACAACATTTAAAGATAAAAACAATCATCAGATTTTATAAAGAACAGTAAAGAATAAAAAAGTATGAAAACATTAATATAAAATCAGCTGTTTACATTAATCTTTGTTTATATTCTCTGTGTTGAACTGAAAGATGAATCTTAAACAGGTCTTTTAGTTTCGGTTCTTTCATAAATGTCTCCATCTTTCACCATATCTGTCTTCTCTCTGTCTCTACAGTCTTGGAGGGTTCTGTGTCACTAAATATTTTATTATGGTAAAAACAGTTGTCGCCGACAACTTCCTGTTGAAGACGATGTTTCTGAGTTGTCGCTTTTTTTCTCACCAAGACCCCTGTTGCCTTATCTCATTCTCTTCCTGCATTAAAGGTGTTGTGGACCTTCAGATGTAAATAAAACATTAGTCAATTTCGTAAGTCAGAAGCAACAAAACAAATATAATGAATTAAATAAATAAATTGTCTTACTCATCAATGGATTCAGTGGCTCTTTGTGGTGTCTTGATCTCTTCAGGGTCTCTGTGTGACAGACTGAAGGTTGAATAAAACTCAGTGCGGAACAAACACTTATTAATTATTTATTTATGAGTTTTGTCTGAAAAGATCTCAATCAGTCATTAACATATTAACTGTGAGACGTTGGTATTAAAACAACACAGATGTTGAGCTCATATTTTAAAAAATTACCTGTTTTGATGATTTCTTTTGAGCAGGAATGTGATGACTGCAACACAAACACAACCAAAGGCCACAACCACAGACAACACAATGATCCAGGTGGAATCTGTGAGAAAAAGTTAGTGATAAACACTCAACATTCATAAAGAAACTACAGATGAAAAGGTAATAATGACTTGTGAACACTTAGAGGTTAACTTACTGTGATCTCTGTCTTTAGATCCAGATTTATCATTAAATCCTAAAAAAAGAAACAAAAAACATCAGAATCATAAAGTATTGATCAGTCTCTGAATGTGTATGTTTGGAAGTGTTTCTCACCATCAGCAGACGACTGTTTGACCTCAGGAATCATCATAAACACCTCTATCTGAGGACCAGAGAGCACTCGCGCTGCACATCCAACCTCTGTGATGTTGCCACGGTAACCAGACAGCACAGCTGTGGTGGTGACAGCGACTGTACCGTTGGTGTTGGTGACACTGACAGAGCTGTAGTTTGAGAAGTGGAGGTCTTGTTGCAGGACTCTTAATGTTACTGTGGGAGCAGGTCGACCTGTGGCCGAGCAGGACACAACTGCCTCTTCAGGAGAGTTTGATTCTCTAACATGTAGGATGGGTTCATGCAGCTCTGCACAGGACACACAGGGACACACAGGGACACACAGGACACACAGCACATTCATTACATCAGTGGAGAATGAGGCAGATTGAGATACATCAATAGAGAATGATTATTAAGACACTTTGAACAATTAAGTCAAGTGAACAACAGAGATGTTCCTAACAACTAATTTCTATATGTACCAGTATATCTAGCGAGTAGTGAGAGTAACGTTTCATCAACTAGTCGACTAATAATGCACCTCCCTGGTAGATAAAGATATAACGATACACTCAACTTATGATTTTATTCTGGGTTCACAATATATATATTACATACATACTGTATTTAACTGTCTCAGGATACAGCTTTACATTACTACTCGTAAACAAATAAACATGTTTTTGATTAAGTTGGAGATAAATCATATGAAAACAGGTTAAAACTACTAGTAAGACTATTTAAAAGGGTTCTTACCATAGAGTTTGATGCAGGTTACACCAATGAAAGCCCCATCAGGGTAGGAATTAAACAAACATTGATAGCAGCCTTCATCCTGCTCTGTCAGGTTCCTGATAACTATGGAGTTGTTCTGCAGTCCATCATCTTTAAACTCCACTTTATCAATAAAGTCAGGAATCACTCTTGGACCAAAGTGTTTGCTGGAAGTAGCAAGAGTCTTATCTCCCTCAGGTTTCCACCATGTGACTTGAACAACATCTTTATTTTGCATCAGCTGACAGTTTAAATGAGCCTCTTCTCCCACTGCTGCCATCACAGTCTGCTGTGTCTGTACCAGAGCTGTTAGACCTGCAGGAGAAGATGGTTTCAGAGGTAAGTGTGTGTGTGTGTGTGTGTGTGTGTGTGTGTGTGTGTGTGTGTTGTACAGGCTGCAGTCTCACCTGTTAGCCAGTGTGAAGCACAGTGGAAATATAACTTTAGACTCATAAATAATCTGATTTCAATAATAATAATAATTACTGTAAACCTTTCTTCTAAATGCATTATTCTTTTGTAGCTCAAGTATCAAAAATAAGGTTAATTTGTAGAATAAACATTTATCTAGGTTGTTTTTATTCTACCTCAGTATCCTGATGTGAAAGCTAACAGACATTGTGTTCTTCACTGACCAATAACAAACAAACTCAGTATTAAAATATAATATAAAGTATGAATTTTACCATCAACCAGTGCAAAAGTGTAAAAGTAATCCCAAAAAACGTGGCGTAATTGCTGAATTACAGTAAACAAAGAACAATAAAGTCTCAGTTTAATTAAAATAATTTACTTATATAAATGACAGAAACACAAAGTATCAATCTTACCTTTCTGAACAACTCCAAACGCACAAAATAAACATAAAACTGCAGGTTGTGTCATCTTTACTGAATCTACCGACAACTCATTCAAAGTGAATGTTGTTACTGTACGCACTGAATTCTGGGTACGTTCATCGCCGAGGGGTGTCATAGAAATAACTATTTACCACCAATGCACAAACACGAGCCTTTACAGTATACAGAGAACATTATACATTTATATAAAATATACTATTATTCAATAATAAATAAGAAATGAACTAATTACCTGTTTTAAATACGACATAGATAGCGAGTGACGCTTATCACCCCTCATAACAACGCAATGGTACATCCCGACCAATCAGAGAGAAGCATCTGGATATTTGAATTAAATGAATAATTAATATATTGCTGTCTGACCTCTCACTGCACTGAATGAGACATTTCCGTATAATAAAGTTAAATTTAAGTGGTGTAAATCTTTCTGTTTGCAGGTTTAACAAAATAAAATTATAATAAATAAATAAAACGTAATAATACCTGACAGGTGACAGATATAGATATTCCTGGATTAAGCAACTGGAAATGAGTTACATTTTAATTGACATTTTGTGGCAGCACTTAGTATCACCAGTAAAACTATGGTCAAATACTTTGTTGTGGCTATTCCAAAGGATACTAAAGTTAGTAAAACTTTGAATATATGGAACAAAATGCACAAATAAAAATCAGTTTTTGTTTGAACTTTAAAGTCCTTTCTAGTAAATACAGATTTTGTCCTGTGTTTGATTTAATTACTGATGATTTTAATTCACAGTAAATAATTACATTACATTCTTTTTAGAAATATTTATATTTTTCAGTTACTTCACAGATATAAATATTTGGTCTTTGACCTATTTATTAAATGAATTTTGTAACGTCTTACCTTTAGAGGTCCTCTGTCTTTCCTCCCATCTCTCTCCCATTTTAAAGAAATTATATCACATTTAGGATCATAATGGAGGAAAAGACACAACAGAATTTCTGTTGAATACTTTATTATTATAGATAAATCCTTCATTCACACATATAAATATATAAAACCTTTGAATACAATCTCAGGAATGTTTGTGAAAGAAAACAACAAAAACACATATTTAATGTCTTTAAATTATTAGAGGATATCCCTTAAATAATATTTTATCTTTCTTTTATCTTTTATTCTTTGAGCTTTAATGCCGGACACACTGCATGCTGGGTTTTCTTGTTTAGGTCACGGACCCCAAACTCCTCCAGGGGATTCCCGTCCTGAACATGTCGACATGCCAATACTCAGTCGCACTCATAGCGCCCCCCACTGGTTACTAAGTTTTATACTTCCTTGTGCTTCTCATTGTCCACTGACCACATCCAGCGGAACTTTTCACACATTGATGATATGTTATGAACCTTGAATGTGACTTTTTGTGGTAGTCGTGGTGATGCAGTAAATACCAGTGTTTCTTTTTTTTTCCCATTTTCCCACAAATAGAAAACACATTTCCTCCAACACACCGGCTGTGGCTCAGGAGGGTTGAGCAGAAATCTGACGGTTTGATCTCCGGCTCCTCCGGCTTTTTCCTCAGGTATCAGTTGTCTGATCGGATACTTTGCTGAAGATGTTTGTTACCTTTGAGGTAAAAAAGAAAGAAACAAAGACAGTCAGGTTCCACTCATATTATTACATTATAATCATATATATATTTTTATACATTAATCTGAACATGTGAATAGACCCAAAGCAGAGAAACTGCACTCATGATTTCAGATTTAAATTTAAATTCTCATTTTAACTTCACTTAAAAATCCTTTTGTCGTCTTAGAAATATTATCAAAGTCAGACCTTTTGTAACTCGGAGATGCTGAAATATTCACTCATGCTTTCAGTATTAATCGTTTACTACTGTAGTTCACTTTTTACTGGATTACAAGAAGTCTGTAATAAAACTACAGCTAGTTCAGAAATATAATTGATTTTAAAGTTCTTTGACTCACTTCACAAAGTTTTAAATGACCTTAATACACCAGAGATCTGGTTTCATTTTATTCTCCAGCCAGACCCCCTGAGGTTCTCCACTGCTTTTCTTTTTAATATTCCTGATGTGTCCCATAAACGTTCAGGAGAGACTGCCGTCTGTTTTTATGGCCCTAAACTGTGGAACTTCCTCTGGATATAAGGATGGAAATCTCTCTCAGTACTGAGACCTGGAAATTAAACACCTTTCTTTCTAATCTGGTTTTAAATTATGAGTATTGTTATTGTTTATTTTCTATTGACTTTTATCTATTGATGTACATTTGATTGTTTTTATTGTATTAAACATTAGCTCTGCAATTTATGTGTTGTTTCAATTTTGCTTTGTAACTCACTTTGGGCTGCATGTTTGTCTGAAAGGTGCTGTATCAATAAACTGGATTTGAGTTGAGGTGGAGACTCACCTGCTTTCACTGTAGAGTATTATGGAGACATAGATGATGACAGAAGCATATAAACAGGCCACTACCATGGGCCATGCAATGGCAAAGGTGTAATCTGTGAGAAAAGAGGAACATTTATCATTCGAACTAACACTTATAAAGCAAACAAATGAGAATTGATTGAATTACGTAGGGCTGTAACGAGTGCTGAGAACAAAGAGAGTGAATAAGAAACACAAAAAGTAATTCTCTGATTGTTCTACACAGCGATGTGAAGCTCAGTGTGATCGGCTCTGGCCATCAACATCTCGACTCCCCACCTGTCACTCAAAGCAGCCACAACCTTTATTATGCATAACTATAAGCCTTAAAGCCTGTGAACACCCACACAGGTGTTTTCAGTTATTCTGGCTCAGGTTGAAGTTGGGCTGGAGCTTTGATGGACATTTATTACGTCACAATTCTCAGTTTCCAATAAGAACGATAAAGTGTAATTCGTCCCACTCTAAGAGGTGCAACAAAGCCAAAAGGAGACTCAGTAAGATGTCAGTCAATGACAGTATACACGCCCACTCAGTCCCAAGAAGAGGACTAATCAATAATTAACTGCAAACACCTGTGTGGGTGTTCACCGGCTTTAATATAGTTTGAATGGATGAATTATATAAAAATTCATCCCCGTACAGTTTAGTTCTAAAGCACAAATAAACATGGCCGCACTTCCACAAAAGGAGGCGGGAAACTTCAAACTATTCATTACAACCCTCGAATTATGAGACAATTAATGCAAATTAGTCATTCATTATTATTACCTATTGATCTTTTATTTTGTTCTTCAAGAAGCATAAAGGGGAACTATACATCATTTTCATTATTAAACTGAGTTGTAAATGACAATGAAAAATAACTGAACATTAACTTACTGCGATCTCTGTCTTTAGATCCAGAGTCATCATCAAAACCTGAAAAATAAAAAACAAAAAACATCAGAATCATAAAGTATTGATCAGTCTCTGAATGTGTATGTTTGGAAGTGTTTCTCACCATCAGCAGACGACTGTTTGACCTCAGGAATCATCATAAACACCTCTATCTGAGGACCAGAGAGCACTTGCGCTGCACATACAATCTCTGTGCTGTTGCCACGGTAACCAGACAGCACAGCTGTGGTGGTGACAGCGACTGTACCGTTGGTGTTGGTGACATTGACAGAGCTGTAGTTTGAGAAGTGGAAGTCTTGTTGCAGGACTCTTAATGTTACTGTGGGAGCAGGTCGACCTGTGGCCGAGCAGGACACAACTGCCTCTTCAGGAGAGTTTGATTCTCTAACATGTAGGATGGGTTCATGCAGCTCTGCACAGGACACACAGGACACACAGGACACACAGGGACACACAGGACACACAGCACATTAATGAAGGTGTTACAAAGACATCAGCTTCTAACAGGATACTTGTAGTATTGTATTATGGAAATGTATTTAACAATGAATAAATGTTCTTACCATAGAGTTTGATGCAGGTTGTACCTGTGAGACGACCTTCAGGGGTGTTAAACAAACATTGATAGCAGCCTTCATCCTGCTCTGCCAGGTTCCTGATAACTATGGAGTTGTTCTGCAGTCCAGCATCTTTAGTAAACCCCACTTTATCAATAAAGCCAAAATTCACTCTTGGACCAAAGTGTTCGGAGTAGGTAGCAACATTTTCCTCTTTCTCAGGTGAACCTTTCTGCCATGTGACTTGAACAACATCTTTATTTTGCATCAGCTGACAGTTTAAATGAGCCTCTTCTCCCACTGCTGCCATCACAGTCTGCTGTGTCTGTACCAGAGCTGTTAGACCTGCAGGAGATGAAGCAACAGAGAAGTTTCTTCAGCTGAGGGTGCGTGTACACTTTCATACTGGAAGTACAACTCCCTTTCTATCAGAACCAGCATGAACTTTTTTCAGCACTTTCAGCTACAGTAGCTCGTCTGTGTATATACAGTGTACCAGTACAGAACAGAACAGCAGGTACGAGGAAACAATTTGTGAAAGTAAAGATAATTCATACTGTAGGTATTTATTTTTAATAACATATGTTTATTCTATTGTTACAATATGACACACTGCATTAAAGGGGAGCACTCATACTGAATGCATTTGTTTGTTTTTTTTATACTGTATATATTCTGCCTATTATGGGAACCACTGACACATGTTGTTGTTTTGCTCTATTTGCTGTCTGGTTTCTGCACCAAAGCTTCTGTTTAAAGTCGAAATAGTCTGAAGACAAGTGTTGTTTGCAGTTAGGATATGACCTGTATGTTGTTTTATATCTGACTTTTGATATTGTGACTCAATAAAAGGAGTTGAGATATGTGCGCAGTTCTCCTCTCCCACTGTTATCTGCACAATCGGTAATATTACTTTATACCTAACAGGACCTACAGTACGGAAAAGTCAGCTGGTGTGACTTTTGGAGGACCCTTATTGCCGAACCAGGTAATAAAGATTCTGACTACTTCTAGTGTAAAACAACATTAACGTAGTACACTAGAGTTTTAAATAACAGGCGATCTTCCCCTACGTGAGACTGGTTGCTCATCGTTTTCCTCCACAAAAACTTTGTAGACTCTCTACTGATTAAAGTTTTAACATTATCCAATTTATTTCTGTTCCTATTGCAAAATGAGATTCGACAGTTGTCTAATTTGGATGAAAGGGTGTGCTGTCATGTGTATAATATAAATTGTAATTGGTGAGATAAAAGTGTAGACGCGACATAATCGATGGTAAAAAGAGTAAGGCGATCACCACTGACTGTTTCCTTACTGACTGTATGACAGTATAAACTATTACCAAATATACTTGACATCAGATTCATAAGGATACGTAAAACGACAGCAAGAACATTTTCTGATTTATTTACAGACATTTGCAGTGTTTTGAACAGACATCGACACAGTTAACTATTTTCAAACTCCAGGCAACTCCGTTAATCTTATTTAACATCAGCACTGGAGTGTTTACAACGTTAAATATTTCATTCTTGTTGGTTAAAATGATAAAAAGAAGTAAATTCAGCCAGTATTTCTAGTTTACAATTGTGCAACAATGCTCGGGAATATCACCAGTTCAATTGTCACACCGGCTGCGTTTTAAGGAAGCGAAAGTACATAAAATATGTATAATTACATAATATTTATGGTATTTTCTTACCTTTCTGAAATAGTCCCATCAGAAAGAGTAAATATATAAAGTGTTTCATCTCTGCTCTATGTGTATCTGTCCGCTTAACCTTCAGGTTTCTAAGTACGACGCAGTTATTTTTTTTTCTAGCTGGGACTGGTTTGTAGGAGGCGGAGTCTGACTGTCATATGATCCAAAACAACTCATATGAAATGTAAATAAAAACATTTAAGAACAGTTTTTACGAAGTTTAAATCAAATCAATAAGCAGCAGGTGAAGAATACCTGCGACTGGTCATCCTGCAGCGTGAGGCTCAACGTAGTCCACAAATCCTCATCACATCTTCAGCGAAGGAAAACAGCTGCTTGTCCAGATCAATACACTCCATGAGCTTTGTTTAAGGTCTGGAGAAGAGACTGTTTGTACGACGTCTCTTCACAGGTTTAAAATACGTTTCAGACCCTTTAAAAGACTTTAACAGACCTCCACAGTCCACAGAGGATGAACTCTTGGACCAAAGTGTTTGTTGTAGGAGGCAAGAGTCTTCTCTCCCTCAGGTTTCCACAATGTGACTTGAACAACATCTTTATTTTGCATCAGCTGACAGTTTAAATGAGCCTCTTCTCCCACTGTACACTGTTAGACCTGCAGGATAGAAGAGGGTTTCAGAGACATTTGCATTTATGTTTTTGTCAACTATAATAAAAACAAAAAAGTGTGAATTTGAAGGATGAACAACATGCAAACATTAAATCTGTGGAAACTGCTCTCAGTTTTTATGCTGCACACACTTTAAACATTTTACAACACAGTTTAAAAACACGATTAAACTCCTGCACACATTAATGTAACTGTGTTTAAACTAATTTTATCTACTTTTAATTGATGTAACGTCCTCAGCGACTCCTCGACAGACAAATAATAATGAATTCATGAATTAATACATTAATAACAATAATAATAAAACCCTGTCTAATAAAAATACATCACATATGTTTGTATAAAACATAAAATGTGGTAAAACAAAGGTTAATAAACTCACCTTTCCAGAAGAGTCCAAACGCACTGATGACAGAAACTACACATTCAGCCATCTTTGTTCATTGTTTACCGCCAAGTTAGGTTTCTTCTTCTCTCTCTTTATTGAGTGTAGCAGCCGGCGTTAAGTAGCTTTAGCGCCACCTGCAGTGTGGACCCGGGAGTACAAGAAAACAAGGAGAGAGCCCAGTTTCTTTCAAATCATTTCATATTACCTGGGTGTATACGTGTTTGTTTACATTAATAACTGTATATATTGGTTTATTTTATTTTGTTTTATTTAATTAGTCTATGATTTAATGATCTCTTTCTGTGTTTTTAGCATTAGGAAACTACAAACCTTTATTTTGTTATTCAATCTTGTGTTTGATTTCTTTCAGATTCACACACGTTTTTTGGACTCAGTTCTTCCACCTAAAGCTTTCTGATTTCCTGGCAGTAATCAATATCTCCACTGATTCCTCTTCATTCATTTGTATTTGTTAGTTTATTTAGCAGGGACAGTGCACACTGATAAAACGTTGCTGTAAATGTGCCAAGAGACATTTTTTAACTTCATAATTCAGAAGAATGTTTGTTTATTGAAGTGTTTTATTACATCTGGTATTCCTGCTCCTGTTAACTGTCCTCACTGTAATGTTAATATTCCTTTTGCTTCAGATTTTCTGTCTTTGATCTCACCGTGTTTCAGAGCCTGTTTTTCTCATGCATCTAAAATTGTATTGCTAAAATATTCCAACATTACATGAACTAACAGCATCAGTCAACACTCATCATGTCTGAACAACAATAAAGTAATGATGCATTTGCCTCTGACACCTTTTCCTTAACCTTCCAGCTGTGAAATGTACGACTGCATTGACATTAACACAGAACAACCTGACGAGTGGGAACAGAAGGTTTTTAAAAGGCAGCTCAACAGTCTCAAAGTTTGATCCTATTGCTGCTGAAGCATAATCAATACATCCGTAGTCTAACACTGACAGTCCACAACAAAGTCTTATTATTATTTGCAGTATGAATGTTTGTATTTATTTCTAATAAGTAAATAAATCACCACAGTGATATCTGACTCTATTACCCTCGAATATATTATAAGGGTTTAAATATAAGTTGCAAAATTACATTTTATAATTATTATGACAAACAAAAAGAAAAAGAAAAACAATGTTTTATTAAAATACATGTAGAAAATACATATACATATATACGTTAAATGCATTTACACTCAACATGCAGCTCAGAATACCTTTTCAACATATAAAACACCAAGATTTCAAATACTAAGTTAAAATACTTCTTAGAAAGTAAAGTAATAACACTGAGAGGTCTTTCCAGCATCAAAGTTAAAAACATCACAACATTTAAACATAAAAACAATCATTAGAGGTTATAAAGAACACAGTAAAGTGTTATCCCTTCTATCTCTGCCCCCCTTTCCTGTTTGTCTTCAGCTGTCACTATCATAAAGGCAATACAAGCCCCCAAAAAATAATAATAAAAAGTAAACATTAATATAAAATCTGCTGATTACATTAATCTTTGTTTATATTCTCTGTGTTGAACTGAAAGATGAATCTTAAACAGGTCTTTTAGTGTCGGTTCTTTCATAAATGTCTCCATATTTCACCATATCTGTCTTCACTTTGTCTCTACAGTCTTAAAGGATTCTGTGTCACTAAACATTTCATTATGGTCAAACAGCGATTGTAGACAACTTCCTGTTGGAGACAATGTTTCTGAGTTGTCACTTTTCTTCCTACAAGACGTTCTCCGTTGCCTTAACTCGTTCTCTTGCTGCATTGAAGGTGCTTTGGTCCTTCAGATGAAAATAAAACATTAGTCAATTTTATTAGTCAGAAGCAAAACAAAGAAAATTAATATGTGAAAGTTTTAAAATGAATAAATTGTCTTACTCAAGAATGAGTTCAGCTGGTTTTTGTGTTGTATTGATCTCTTCAGGGTCTCTGTGTGACAGACTGAAGGTTGAATAAAAGTCAGTGCTGAACAAACATTTATCAATTATGTATTTATGAGTTTTGTCTGAAAAGATCTCAATCAGTCATTAACATATTAACTGTGATGTTGAGTTCAAAGTTAATTTTTAACTTTTACCTGTTCTGATTTTTTTCTTTCGAGCAGGAGTTTGATGACTGCAACACAAACACAAACACAAACACAAACAAAGGCCACTACCACAGACAACACAATGATCCAGGTGGAATCTGTGAGAAAAGAGGAAATTTAGTGATAAACACTCAACAATCATAAAGAAACTACAGATCAAAAGGTAATAATTGAAAACACTTAGAGTTTAACTTACTGAAATCAAATCAAACAAACAAACCAAAAAAGACATGAGCTCTAAAGTATTGATCAGTCTCTGAATGTGTATGTTTGGAAGTGTTTCTCACCATCAGCAGACGACTGTTTGACCTCAGGAATCATCATAAACACCTCTATCTGAGGACCAGAGAGCACTCGCGCTGCACATCCAACCTCTGGACTGTTGTTGCCACGGTAACCAGACAGCACAGCCGTGGTGGTGACAGCGACTGTACCGTTGGTGTTGGTGACACTGACAGAGCTGTAGTTTGAGAACTGGAGGTCTTGTTGCAGGACTCTTAATGTTACTGTGGGAGCAGGTCGACCTGTGGCCGAGCAGGACACAACTGCCTCTTCAGGAGAGTTTGATTCTCTAACATGTAGGATGGGTTCATGCAGCTCTGCACAGGACACACAGGGACACACAGGGACACACAAGGACACACAGGACACACAGGGACACACAGGACACACAGGGACAGACAGGACACACAGGGACACACAGGGACACACAGCACATTCATTACATCAGTGGAGAATGAGACAGATTGAGATACATGAATTAAGAATGATTATTAAGACACTTTGAACAATTAAGTCAAGTGAACAACAGAGATGTTCCTAACAACTAATTTTTATATGTACCAGTATATCTAGCGAGTAGTGAGAGTAACATTTGATCAACTAGTCGACTAATAATGCACCTCCCTGGTAGATAAAGATATAACGATACACTCAACTTATGATTTGATTCTGGGTTCACAATATATATATATATATATACATACACACACCCTTAAAAGCTCCCTGCAAACCTTTAGGGAGATTTGGACCCCATTCCTAGAGTATTATGAGCACTTACAAATACCATTAAATGAGATACCAATTTTAGAGTGAGGCGCTTTTTTGTTTTGTTTTCGTTGCTGTTATTTATTTATTTATTTATTTATTTATGTATTCTGAGGTTTGTTTTGTTTTATTGTTGTTACTTTCATTATCATTGAATGATTCTGTATTTGCTATTGCAATCCTTCTGGCATCCTGAATTGAACAAAACCAATAGACACTCATTCAGGAACACTAAGTGGACAGTGGGGACGGTTGGGAGGGGGATGAACTGGGTATAGTTTCACAATTATAATCACTTGATAGATGCAGCTACCATTTTTTTTCTTTTTTTGTGATTATATTTACTTTCAACATATGCTGCAAATTAATGTACAAAACTAATGGAAAATCAATAAAAATTGTTGAATGAGAAATGTTCTTACCATAGAGTTTGATGCAGGTTACACCAATGAGAGCACCATCAGGGTACGAATTAAACAAACAGTGATAGCAGCCTTCATCCTGCTCTGTCAGGTTCCTGATAACTATGGAGTTGTTCTGCAGTCCAGCATCTTTAAACTCCACTTTATCAATTAAGTCAGGATTCACTCTTGGACCAAAGTATTTGCTGGAAGTGGCAAGAGTCTTATCTCCCTCAGGTTTCCACCATGTGACTTGAACAACATCTTTATTTTGCATCAGCTGACAGTTTAAATGAGCCTCTTCTCCCACTGCTGCCATCACAGTCTGCTGTGTCTGTACCAGAGCTGTTAGACCTGCAGGAGAGGAAGCAACAGAGATGTTTCTTCAGCTGAGGGTGCGTATACACTTTCATACTGGAAGTACAACTCAGTGAAGTCTGATTTACAGTTTAGTTTTTTATTATATAATAGTATATTATTACATATTACATAGTGTATATATTTTTATTTACAGTCTCATATTTTCTACTATATTTTATAATATTCTTATTTTGTGATTCTTTATTGTACTCTTTGCATTACATTTCCCTGTGCTGCTGTGTCCGATTTGAATTTCTGCCACAGGAACATCTGATCTGATCTTATGTCTTCTGTCCTTTGTTGTTTTGATGTATTTCCTGTCTGGTTTCTGCACCAAAGCTTCTGTTTAAGGTTGAAATAGTCTGAAGACAGGTGCTGTTTACAGTTAGGATATCACCTGTATGTTGTCGTATATCTGACTTCTGATATTGTGACTCAATAAAGGAGTTGAGATATGTGCGCAGTTCTCCTCTCCCACTGTTATCTGCACAATCGGTAATATTACTTTATACCTAACAGGACCTACAGTACTGGGACCCCGTTAGCTCAAAATGTCCATTAATCTACACTGTAAACTGTAAAGTGGGAAGAAAATGCGAGAGTACTCTGCGGGACGTATTTAAAGCGAAAGTAAAAAGGGAAAAGTCAGCTGGCTGTTCTTTAAGGAAGCGAAATTACATAAGATATGTATAATTACATAATATTTATCGTATTTTCTTACCTTTCTCAAAGAATCCCATCAGAAAAAATAAATATATAAAGTGTTTCATCTGTGCTCTATGCGGATCTGTCCTCAAGGGTTTGAAGTATGGCACAGATATTTTTATTTTCCTGGAGAACTGGTTTGAGGAGGCAGAGTCCGGATGTCCCGGTTCCAAAACAACTCATATGAAATGTAAATAAAAAACATTTAAGAACAGTTTTTGCAAGTTTAAACATGTGGAACTAAAACTTGAAGGGCTGCAGTGGAGTTTTGTTTTATTCACTGTTATATGTATATGTATATAAGTATATATATATAAGTATATATATATATACATATACATATATATAAGTATAAATGACACAGATATGATGAATGTGTCACTGAGCTGATTCTGACATTTACCCATAAGGAGACTTTTAGTGCTGCACATTGTTGATCAAATGGCTCATATAGTGTAAAATATCTCAACTCTTTTGATTCATTACAGCGGAAAAAACATTTTATTAAAAATAGCAGAAATTTGGAGTGAAGTTTAGATGTTAATTAAAACTGTGTACATGAATGTTTTTGATCTGCTGGAGTCATTATTAATGAGCTGGGGCTGTTTTTATGCTGTATTAACCGATTAATCTTTCAGTATCAGTTCTTTCACAAAAGACAACAACCAGGACAAATTTGACCTATTTCACAAGTTGTAAATAAAGTCAATAAATGTAATTTCTGACCACAAAGATCGCGTGAAAGTAAGTGGATTCTCCATCTGTACAGTGATTGAAGTTAACTGAACAGACACACTGTGCTCTCTTTTCCACACTGTTGAATAAATGAGCTTAAATCAACAGCTGCTTTACAGACTGTTGATTAAAACACAAGAATATATTAACTGAATTCATTAATTCACAGACAGGAAGACAGCAGGTGAAGAATACCTGCGACTGGTCATCCTGCAGTGTGAGGCTGAACGTAGTCCACAAATCCTCATCACATCTTCAGCGAAGGAAAACAGCTGCTTGTCCAGATCAATACACTCCATGAGCTTTGTTTAAGGTCTGGAGAAGAGACTGTTTGTACGACGGCTCTTCAGAGGTTGAAAATACGTTTCAGACCCTTTAAAAAGACTTTAACAGACCTCCACAGTCCACAGAGGATGAACTCTTGGACCAAAGTGTTTGTTGTAGGAGGCAAGAGTCTTCTCTCCCTCAGGTTTCCACAATGTGACTTGAACAACATCTTTATTTTGCATCAGCTGACAGTTTAAATGAGCCTCTTCTCCCACTGTACACTGTTAGACCTGCAGGAGAAGAGGGTTTCAGAGACATTTGCATTTATTTTTGTCAAATATAATATAATATGATATATATCTTTATATATATATATATAGTGTGAATTTGAAGGATAAATCTGTTTTTCCTTCCTCAGTATCCTGATGTGAAAGCTAAAAGTTTAGAGGAGCTGTTAAACTTCAACAGCAGACAAACTCAGTGATGTTAATATCTTTAATGGGAACTGGCTGTCACTGATCCCACAGTCATTATTTGATTTAAGTGAATGGTTAATGCTCAAGGTCCAGAATTTAATTGCTAAAATATTCCAACATTACATGAACTAACAACATCAGTCAACACTCATCATGTCTGAACAACAATAAAGTAATGATGCATTTGCCTCTGACACCTTTTCCTTAACCTTCCAGCTGTGAAATGTACGACTGCATTGACATTAACACAGAACAACCTGACGAGTGGGAACAGGAGGTTTTTTAAAGGCAGCTCAACAGTCTGAAAGTTTGATCTTATTGCTGCTGAAGCATAATCAATACATCCGTAGTCTAACACTGACAGTCCACAACAAAGTCAGCTCCCAGTGCTGGAGATGCTTCCTGAGCTACAGGTAATGTGAAAGTGGAGTTCACTGATTCAAACTACGACTGAACTGAATTGAGTTCCTGCCACAAAACAGCCTAAACTCTTCTTCTGTCAATCTGATTATTATTATTTGCAATATGAATGTTTGTATTTATTTCAAATAAGTTAATAAATCACCACAGTGATATCTGACTCTACAACCCTCAAATATATTATAAGTAGCAAAATTACATTTTATAATTATTATGACGAACAAAAAGAAAAAGAAAAACAATATTTTATTAAAATACATGTAGAAAATAAATATACATATATACGTTAAATGCATTTACACTCAACATGCAGCTCAGAATACCATTTTTCTATATTACGTTTCTGTAAACAAAACAGTTATTTAGTTAAATCTTCCTCTACCAATGTGTCACTAAACATTTCATTATGGTCAAACAGCGATTGTAGACAACTTCCTGTTGAAGACGATGTTTCTGAGTTGTCACTTTTCTTCTCACAAGACGTTCTCTGTTGCCTTAACTCGTTCTCTTGCTGCATTAAAGGTGTTTTGGTCCTTCAGATGAAAATAAAACATTAGTCAATTTTATTAGTCAGAAGCAAAACAAATAAAAATTAATATGTATAAGTTTTAAAATGAATAAATTATCTTACTCAAGAATGAGTTCAGTTGTTTTTTGTGGTGTCTTGATGTCTTCAGGGTCTCTGTGTGACAGACTGAAAGTTGAATAAAAGTCAGTGCTGAACAAACATTTATCAATTATGTATTTATGAGTTTTGGCTGAAAAGATCTCAGTCAGTCATTAACATATTAACTGTGAGACGCTGGTATTAAAACAACACAGATGTTGAGTTCAATGTTAAAAAATTACCTGTTTTGATGTTTTCTTATGAGCAGCAATATGATGACTTCAACACAAACACGAACACGAACACGAAAACGAACACAAACACAAACACCAACACCAACACCAACAAAGCACACAACCACAGACAACACAATGATCCAGGTGGAATCTGTGAGAAAAGAGGAAATTTAGTGATAAGCACTCAACATTCATATAGAAACTACAGATCAAAAGTTAATAATTAAAAACACGTTTGGAAGTGTTTCTCACCATCAGCAGACGACTGTTTGACCTCAGGAATCATCATAAACACCTCTATCTGAGGACCAGAGAGCACTCGCGCTGCACATCCAACCTCTGTGTTGTTGCCACGGTAACCAGACAGCACAGCTGTGGTGGTGACAGCGACTGTACCGTTGTTGTTGGTGACACTGACAGAGCTGTAGTTTGAGAAGTGGAGGTCTTGTTGCAGGACTCTTAATGTTACTGTGGGAGCAGGTCGACCTGTGGCCGAGCAGGACACAACTGCCTCTTCAGGAGAGTTTGATTCTCTAACATGTAGGATGGGTTCATGCAGCTCTGCACAGGACACACAGGGACACACAGGGACACACAGCATATTAATGAAGGTGTTACAAAGACATCAGCTTCTGACAGGATACTTGTTGTCCAGTATGTAAGTTTTAGAAGAGATTAATATTGGAAATGTCTCTAATAATGAATAAATGTTCTTACCATAGAGTTTGATGCAGGTTATAGCAGTGAGAGCACCATCAGGGTAGGAATTAAACAAACATTGATAGCAGCCTTCATCCTGCTCTGTCAGGTTCCTGATAACTATGGAGTTGTTCTGCAGTCCAGCATCTTTAAACTCCACTTTATCAATTAAGTTAGGATTCACTCTTGGACCAAAGGGTTTGCTAGAAGTGGCAAGAGTCTTATCTCCCTCAGGTTTCCACCATGTGACTTGAACAACATCTTTATTTTGCATCAGCTGACAGTTTAAATGAGCCTCTTCTCCCACTGCTGCCATCACAGTCTGCTGTGTCTGTACCAGAGCTGTTAGACCTGCAGGAGAAGATGGTTTCAGAGGTGTGAGTTGGTATTGTTAAAGGTTTTTACTGAAGTGTATGGAGGATAAGCAGAACATAGTCGAACCATCTTTAGCCTCTTGGCATATTTATTTAACAATATGGCTCACACAGAACAACTGGCGCTCACTGGGAGCGTGGTGACATCATGTCCTGTACGTACCGTAAACCTTATACAATACAGCAGTACAGTATATCAGTCTACCATAATACAGGGAGTAAGGGCGCCATCAAATTACAACACTTAACAGGTATTAAAGGAGCTATAATACAGTCCTACCGAACGCTGAAGTTGGTTTTCGATTCGGCTGTTCAGGGAAAACTTGAGGGATATTTAACTTAAAGTGCTGAGCGACCGATCCTCAGTGTTTTGCTCCTCTTACTGCTGTAAAAGCTTTCAGTAAAGCCCTAACACTCTCTGAAACCCACTTTAGACTTGTCAAATCCGGACTAGAAATAGTCACTAATTTACACAATAAAAGACCATAACATCAGTTCACACACACACACACACACACACACACACACACACACACACACACACACACACACACACACACACACACACACACACACACACACACACACACACACACAAGCCTCCACATGCATTTGCAGATCAGCTATGGCAGAAGTGAAGCAACAGTCACTGAGCTGTAACCGATCAACTGTCTGTATTATAATAATAATTAAAATTAAAAAAAGTTTGATTCTGAGTGAAACACACTGATTGTTCTCTAACTCACCTTTCTGAAAGACTCCCAGCACACACAGCACATGTATGACTGCACGGTGGCTCATCTCTGCCGCATTGTTCATCTCCCGCCAATATTCAAAGGTGACAACAAAAGCCAGGTAACTACCAGGTAAGTTCTTCCGGATGAAAAACCAGCATATAGGTGTATCACCGCCACCTGCTGGGTGGAGTGTGGAGCAGGAGATTGGCAGGAAAAAAAACAATCAAACTAAATTCTAATATTCCTGTTTTTCTTAAATAATGAATACAAAATATTATGTACTTTCTATGATTGATTTCCAAGTAGATTCTCCAGTGTAATACTGTGTCCCTCATACTGCACTCCAATGTACTCCAATCTGCAGCTGACATTGAGGGACAGCTGGATATGAATTACATCTTAATGTGAACAATATGTCAATTATTGTTGTTATAAAGTCAGAGAAAACATAAAAGCAGTGGCAGCAGTAATAGTTCAGTTAGTAATTTCAAAAAATCATGTAGCATGGACATTACATGTGAATTGTATTTTATTATTAGTGATAATGTGAATCTTATGATCTTTTCCTCTTACAACTTCTGTCAAGTATTGGCAAAATAAGGAAAATGCAAAAGTATTTTAAAAAATCATTAATTATATACAGTCATCATGTATATTACAAATGTACAGTTATAGGCGTTTGAATGTTTATAAACCTCCTCTAATACAAGACATTTAATAAAACTTAAATATCATATTTCCTCTCTTACTTAAACTCTATAGAATTTAAAGTGTAACCTTTTATTTCTTTCACAGTGACGACATATTTTGCGTTCAGAGCTCTGATCAGAATCACAATCAGGCTTATTGTCAAGTAAGTTTTCACATACAAGGAATTTGTTTTTGTAAATTGGTGCATAACAATGAAACATAGAAAAATATGAATAAAGATAAAATGGAGACGATAAAAAGAGACAATATATACAAATATAAAAAGAGACATGTGCAATTAAATAAATGAAGAGCTGAACAGTTAGTGCAACAGATAATGATATTAGCAGGATAAATCGAAGGGATGTGCATTAATGTAACGCATAGATTCACACAATGACAATGAAACTGTGTCAGTCAGATTCATTCTACAGTTGTACTGATGTTGAAGGTGATGGATTCAGGTTATCACTTGGTTCAGTCTTCACAGGCGACGGCCGTTGTCTGACCCCATCGCTCTCCTGTGTGACCGAAGATGTTTCGGCCCTTCAGATACAAACAGTGTTTCATTACTATATGAATACTGCATAAATAAAGTAATCTGAACAGGTTATACACACACAGTGATCAGAATTTACTTTACACATGCAGTAAAGATTAATAGGTAGATATATAGACACAATGTGACAATATACAACAGAGAGAGTACAAATAATGTTGAGTTACAAGTGAAGAATGACAGTATAAAGAGTGTCTTACTTCTGAGTGTCGTTGGTTGTCGTCTCGTTCATCTCAGTGTCGCCGTGTGACAGATTGGAGGGTGCTGATGCAGTTAAAGCTGAACAACATTTATCAGCTTTCATAGACTGAGATTCAGATTTTGTTTTACGGAAATAGATTAATGCAGTAATTGGACCACAGACCCCGACCACGGAGAATACAATGATCAAAATCCAAACTGTGAGAAAAAGAGAAAAATTAGATTGACACGCAGCAGTTACAAAACAACAACAGATCATATAGGAGTATCACATCTAAACATTAACTTACTGCGATCCCTGTCTTTAGATCCAGATTCATCATCAAAACGTGTAAAAAGAAACAAAAAACATCAGAATCATAAAGTATTGATCAGTCTCTGAATGTGTATGTTTGGAAGTGTTTCTCACCATCAGCAGACGACTGTTTGACCTCAGGAATCATCATAAACACCTCTATCTGAGGACCAGAGAGCACTCGCGCTGCACATCCAACCTCTGTGCTGTTGCCACGGTAACCAGACAGCACAGCTGTGGTGGTGACAGCGACTGTACCGTTGGTGTTGGTGACACTGACAGAGCTGTAGTTTGAGAAGTGGAGGTCTTGTTGCAGGACTCTTAATGTTACTGTGGGAGCAGGTCGACCTGTGGCCGAGCAGGACACAACTGCCTCTTCAGGAGAGTTTGATTCTCTAACATGTAGGATGGGTTCATGCAGCTCTGCACAGGACACACAGGGACACACAGCAAATTAATTACATCAGTGGAGAATGAGGCAGATTGAGATACATCAATAGAGAATGATTATTAAAAATAATACACATTTCCCTCTCTTTTTCTAGAACTGCTGCCTTGATACAGTTACTGATGTAAGTGACAAGTAAAGCCGATAGCGCCCTCTGCTGTATGAATATTTAAAATGTTCTTACCATAGACCTGGAGACAGGTTATAGCAGTGAGAGCACCATCAGGGTAGGTGTTGAACAAACATTGATAGCAGCCTTCATCCTGCTCTGTCAGGTTCCTGATAACTATGGAGTTGTTCTGCAGTCCATCATCTTTAAACTCCACTTTATCAATAAAGTCAGGAATCACTCTTGGACCAAAGTATTTGTTGTGGATGGCAATATTCTTCTCTCCCTCAGGTGAAACTTTCTGCCATGTGACTTGAACAACATCTTTATTTTGCATCAGCTGACAGTTTAAATGAGCCTCTTCTCCCACTGCTGCCATCACAGTCTGCTGTGTCTGTACCAGAGCTGTTAGACCTGCAGGAGAAGATGGTTTCAGAGGTAAGTTAGTGTGTGTGTGTGTGTGTGTGTGTGTGTGTGTGTGTGTGTGTGTGTGTGTGTCTGTGTGTGTTGTTCAGGCTGCAGTCTCAACTGTTAGCCAGAGTGAAGCACAGTGGAAATATAACTTCCCTTTTATAAATAATCTTTTTTAAATAACAATAATAATTGTAACATTTTCTGTTCGTTTCCTTCTGGATGCATTATTCTTCTGTAGCTCAACTATTAAAAATTAAGGTGAATTTGCCAATTTTACCATCAACCAGCTGAAACGTGTAAACTAAAACATTGTAAATGTCTTTCCTGCACAGTTTAGATCTTTATCCTTATCTTTATTTATTTATATTTAAATTTTTTTGGTGTGCTTTTTATGCACCAAGACAAATTCCTTGTACTTGGCAATAAACCCGATTCTGATTCTGATGAAGCGCCAACAACGTGGTTAACTTAACTGCTGAATTACAGTAAACAAAGAACAACAAAGTCTCAGTTTAATTAAAATAATTTATTTATATAAAATGACAGAAACACAAAGTATTAATCTTACCTTTCTGAAAAACTACAAACGCACAAAATAAATATAAAACTGCAGGTTGTGTCATCTTTACTGAATCTACCGCCAACTCATTGAAACTGAAAGCTGTCACTGTACGTTAACTGCGTGCGCACTTCTGTGTAAAGTGGGGAGGCGGGTGTCATAGAAACAACTATTTACCAACAATGTAGAAACACGAGCTTTTACAGTATATAGGGAACATTATACATTTATAACAAAAGCCTATAATTCAATAATAAATGGTAGATAAACTAATTCGCTGTTTAGAATACGATATAAACAGCGAGTGACGCTTATCACCCCTATAACAACACAATGGTACATCCCACTACTCAGAGATTTGGATTAGTTAATAATTAATATATTACTGTCTGACCTCTCAGTGCACTGAATGAGGGGATTTCCACATAATAAAGTTAAACTTAAGTGGTGTAAATCTGTCTGTTAAGTCAAAAGATTGGAGTAAACAGCTCAAGAGTCACAAATAAAATGTCTCAACACGTTTGAAAAGTAACTGGAAGATTTGAAGATGTGGGTTTTCTGTCTATTTAGTCTTAATCACTACATTTCAGATTGTGTTTCTCTAACTCATTCATGAATCCAGAACAGATATTTACCAGCGTGTGTAAAGTGTGAAATGTGTACCAAATTTCCCAATCAGGCATGGCTAGGGCAGCCTCTAATGCTTGTGGGGCTGCTACACACATTGTTTGTTATCTGCCAGTAAATCCAGAGAAGTTAATGGTTTGGAGCTCATGTATGTTGCCCTTGAAGCTCAGACTGTGTCCTATTAGTGCAGATAATGTGTGCATCAGGTTGTAGGCAGTGTTCATTCTGACTGCACTCACTAAACTAGCTGGACCACATGTTCAGCTGAGCCATGCAGCATCTCCACAGGGTTGGAGGCTTTTGTTTGGTTTATGGGTTAAAGCAGTGGTTCCCAACCAGAGATCACAGGGGGTGCGCACAACTTTGTCTGCTGTAAAATCCCAATAACACATCCAATTGGATAATCAAAACTCTGTATAATCCAAATTGAAACATATTTTTGGTCCACATTTAAATTCATTAAGCTATTTATTACCTATTTAGTGCGTGTATGCGGGTAGGGGTTGGGGGGGCTTCATGGAAAAAAGGTTGGGAACCACTGGGTTAATGGACCCAGAGATGTATTTGATTTAATTTGGAAGATATCACATTAAAGAAAATACGAGGATTAAACTACAAGTACCTCAAAATTATACTTAAATAAAGTAACTGAGTAAATGTATTAGACTGTACTCAGTTGTATTGTTGTAATCAGAACTTCTTACCCAGAATTTATAGAAACATGTTGATGGTTGTATTTATGTAAATACACTCAGATGTTCATTGACATCTTTAAATATCCTCTTTGTGATATCTTCCAGATTAAACTACTCAACAGTATATAAAGTAATTAAAGCAGTTTCACCTCCAGCAGCTACAACATGAAAATACAGCTTCCATAGTAATACATCAGAGTTGATAAATGCTTTAATATGATATATAATAATGTAACAATGACAGGGAGATGCACTGTGTGTTATCATGGATATTATATATTATTGTAAAATTATTCATCTTGTCTAGAAACAATCTACATATAAAAATATAAGACTAAGTTATATAACAGCATCTTTAAATATGCTCTTTGTGATATAAACCTTCGCTTACGGCCATACCACCCTGAACACGCCCGATCTCGTCCGATCTCGGAAGCTAAGCAGGGTCGGGCCTGGTTAGTACTTGGATGGGAGACCGCCTGGGAATACCAGGTGCTGTAAGCTTTACACTTCTCTGTACAGACAGCAGGGGGCGCTGCTGCTGCTGCTACACTGGAGGAAACAACTGGGAGCCGACATAACTCTTGTGACTCCTTACTGTGACCACGATACTCAAATTAACATTTCTACCAGAATTCCTCTTTATTTTGAGAAACTAGACAATATAAGTTTTTAAAATCATTAAAAGTTCAACGAAGCAGACAGTAAATCATAGTTCAGAATAACTGCGAGTTCTTATGAAACATAAAGCCTCTTTATAGGTGATATAACAATATGAAGTCATATTTCTACACAGTTCACAAGACGAATCATTTAATGATGACACAGTAATTGCAAACATAAAAGAAAATAAATGTAACAATGTGTTGAATTCACTTTATTTGTTGTTTGATTTTTGGCATTTTCAATCATCATATATGTCGCAGGTTTTATACAATAAAGCTGTTAACAGGAAACGGTTAAATAAAAGTATACAGAGCTCATTTAAAACAGTGAAATTATCATTTGTGTATTTGTAGATTTATTCTGTTATTTATGGGCCGAACATTTGTCTGTAATCTTACAATAAATTCTCTATTGTTTAGCAGAATTTGTAAATTACTGTTTAAAATCATTACAGCAAAACGTTAATTTGTTTTCCCTATTTATCTTACATAGTGCACAGGCTTTCCATTTTTACATATGATTGTAATTGCATAATTGTTTATAGTTTTACCCCTGTAGTGACAACCTATGTCAATATAGACAAACCTACAAATAACAACTGTAAAGACTCGCCCACTTGTGATTTTACGTTCTCCACGTACATTATTACAGAGGGCGTCAACTTCTTCATCATTGCTCACGATGAAGGTATTTATTGACTTGCATTCTTCTCCATGATACTCCTCGTAGTCCTCATTGATTGGCTCCATTTTTGTATCACAGTTATTGCCTGTCATCTGATTGTCGACATGCTTCTGATAGAAGTTCAGAGCCTCAGTGAGCGCTGTGGCAGAGATCAACACGAGAAGCAGACAGGCAGTTTGGATCTTCATGGTTCACTGGTGAAGGAAAAAACAAAAGATTGTTCATACAGAGAATTTAGAGCATCACAAGTGATATCTTCACAATTACTTTACCAACATATTTCATTCTTTCCCTCAAAAACTGTAACTATTCACTATAAATGTAGTATAGTGTTTTAATAGGCTAATTTTCTCCTCCCTCCCTGTATAACTCCTCTTCAATTTTTGTGAACTTTAGTTTTGTTTTTGTGTCTTTGCCTCTCACAGAAAAAACTTACATTCCTTCAGTTAAAAAATGATGCGTAAAATAATTTTTAGCTGTCAAATAATATTGAACTTCCTGGGTCCACGCTACAAGCTATATACATCAAAATACAGATCGCTATGATAGGAGCTTTTTCATATCAGGTTCCTTACCTGATGAGTGGTTTGTTGGTTTGTTGGTTGGTTGATTCACCGGCTGTGGTCCAGGCAGGAGATTGTCGGCACCAGTTGGTTAAAATGTCTTCAGTGAAGGAAATTCTCTGAAGCTGCAACCTGCTGACACTGAGTTCCTTATATAATGTCCAGAAAATACAATATACACAGGCTGTAAAGGAAGAGGCTGTCACCCGTCACAAATAGATCATACACTCCGTTTGCTGCTGCTTTGACCAAAGCGCAACTTTCTCTCCTGTGACCCAAGTTCTTGGTGTTAAAATGACAAACAGTGTCAAATACTAAGGAAACAAACAGGAAACAAATTAGACTGTGCTTTCAGCTGATTAGCACCTTTAACGTTTTTAAAACAACTTCCCACTTCATGCATAGTCTTAGTTGTATTTTTCCAGTACAACTTCCTCCTTTGAGCATACAATGCTCACACAATGAGAGAAAATCAAATACCTTAAACACATAGTTCAGAATAAGAGAAAACACAACTTGTCTAGTGTACTTACTCAGTACCATAATCATGTTCTACTCCAAATGCATACCTGCTGTCTGTGCAAATGTTGGTGGTCTTTTCTGATCCCAACGTCCAGGCTTCAGTAAGCCTGTGCTGAGAACAACACCATGTCTGGATTTTAAAATGGTGTTTCCTGTAAATAAGATCTATCTTAATACTGCAACACAGTTGGTGAGGGGAGCACAGTAGCAGAGTTACAAGTAGTACAGTGTTTAACTGTGATAAAGAATTTAAATTTTTGTGAAACCAGCGAGGTTAAACTCTAAATATGACATTAAAGTGAGAGCAGTTATTGTATTTCTCCCACTGTAAGAAGACAGTGTTATAGTCAGTGATGCCTCAGCTAGAGAAGATTCACCATGTAAAGGGCTCAGAGGTGAAACTGCTTTACAACTTATTCAGAAAGAGTTTAATACCTGGAAGATAAAACACAACCTTCATCTGAATGAAGGCAGATTGATTCAGATATCGCTTACAGACAGCTCTGTTTTTAAGATACAAGTTTACTATGATGCAAATAACTCGGGTGACTCCATACTGTATATTCAAATCAACATTTTCCCGTAATCCCTCTTTCAAGTATACGATGACCTATTTAGAAGAATATCCAAATACAATACAAGTTTACAAAATCCTTAAAAGTACAACAGAGCATTTCATGTATTTCAGTATTTCATGATGCAAAACATATCAAACAAACGATCACCGAGGCAACTGAGCTGTATGAAGTTTTGCAAACCAAAAAGAGAAAAACATTGACTTCATTTTCAAATAAATAAACATATACTGGAGTATTCAAGAAAACCTGTTTCTGAGTTATGTCAGCTCCCAGTTGTTTCCTCCAGTGTAGCAGCAGCAGCAGCAGCAGCAGCAGCAGCCCCCTGCTGTCTGTACGGAGAAGTGTAAAGCTTACAGCACCTGGTATTCCCAGGCGGTCTCCCATCCAAGTACTAACCAGGCCCGACCCTGCTTAGCTTCCGAGATCGGACGAGATCGGGCGTGTTCAGGGTGGTATGGCCGTAAGCGAAGGTTCATATCACAAAGAGGATATTTAAAGGTGCTGTAATATGATGTAGTCTTATATTTTTATTTGTAGATTGTTTCTAAACAAGATGAATAATTGTACAATAATATAAAATATCCATGATAACACACAGTGCATCTCCCTGTCATTGTTACATTATTATATATCATATTAAAGCATTTATCAACTCTGATGTATTACTATGGAAGCTGTATTTTCATGTTGTAGCTGCTGGAGGTGAAACTGCTTTAATTACTTTATATACTGTTGAGTAGTTTCATCTGGAAGATATCACATTAAAGTAGTGGAGTAGAAAATACGAGGATTAAACTACAAGTACCTCAAAATTGTACTTAAATAAAGTAACTGAGTAAATGTATTAGACTGTACTCAGTTGTATTGATGTAATCAGAACTTCTTACCCAGAATTTATAGAAATATTCTGATGTTTGTTTTTATGTAAATACACTCAGATGTTCATCGACATCTTTAAATATGCTCTTTGTGATATCTTCCAGATTAAACTACTCAACAGTATATAAAGTAATTAAAGCAGTTTCACCTCCAGCAGCTACAACATGAAAATACAGCTTCCATAGTAATACATCAGAGTTGATAAATGCTTTAATATGATATATAATAATGTAACAATGACAGGGAGATGCACTGTGTGTTATTATGGATATTTTATATTATTGTACAATTATTCATCTTGTTTAGAAACAATCTACATATAAAAATATAAGACTACATCATATATCATCATCTTTAAATATCCTCTTTGTGATATGAACCTTCGCTTACGGCCATACCACCCTGAACACGCCCGATCTCGTCCGATCTCGGAAGCTAAGCAGGGTCGGGCCTGGTTAGTACTTGGATGGGAGACCGCCTGGGAATACCAGGTGCTGTAAGCTTTTACACTTCTCTGTACAGACAGCAGGGGGCGCTGCTGCTGCTGCTGCTGCTGCTGCTGCTACACTGGAGGAAACAACTGGGAGCTGACATAACTCTTGTGACTCCTTACTGTGACCACGATACTCAAATTAACATTTCTACCAGAATTCCTCTTTATTTTGAGAAACTAGACAATATAAGTTTTTAAAATTATTAAAAGTTCAACGAAGCAGACAGTAAATCATAGTTCAGAATAACTGCGAGTTCTTATGAAACATAAAGCCTCTTTATAGGTGATATAACAATATGAAGTCATATTTCTACACACAGTTCACAAGACGAATCATTTAATGATGACACAGTAAATGCAAACATAAAAGAAAATAAATGTAACAATGTGTTGAATTCACTTTATTTGTTGTTTGATTTTTGGCATTTTCAATCATCATATATGTCGCAGGTTTTATACAATAAAGTTGTTAACAGGAAACGGTTAAATAAAAGTATAAAGAGCTCATTTAAAACAGTGAAATTATCATTTGTGTATTTGTAGATTTATTCTCTTATTTATGGGCCGAACATTTGTCTGTAATCTTACAATAAATTCTCTATTGTTGAGCAAAACTTGTAAATTACTGTTTAAAATCATTACAGCAAAACGTTAATTTGTTTTCCCTATTTATCTTACATAGTGCACAGGCTTTCCATTTTTACATATGATTGTAATTGCATAATTGTTTATAGTTTTACCCCTGTAGTGACAACCTATGTCAATATAGACAAACCTACAAATAACAACTGTAAACACTCGCCCACTTGTGATTTTACGTTCTCCACGTACATTATTACAGAGGGCGCCAACTTCTTCATCATTGCTCACGATGAAGGTATTTATTGACTTGCATTCTTCTCCATGATACTCCTCGTAGTCCTCATTGATTGGCCTCATTTTTGTATCACAGTTATTGCCTGTCATCTGATTGTCGACATGCTTCTGATAGAAGTCCAGAGCCTCAGTGAGCGCTGTGGCAGAGATCAGCACGAGAAGCAGACAGGCAGTTTGGATCTTCATGGTTCACTGGTGAAGGAAAAAACAAAAGATTGTTCATACAGAGAATTTAGAGCATCACAAGTGATATCTTCACAATTACTTTACCAACATATTTCATTCTTTCCCTCAAAAGCTGTATAACTTGGGAGCCCGGATAGCTCAGTGGGTAGAGCTGGCAACCCCGTGTACCGAGGCTCAGTCCTTGCTGCAGCTGCCCAGAGTTCAAATCCAACCTGCAGCCCTTTGCTGCGCGTCATCCCCTGTCTCTGTCTGTCTTCACCTGTCACTATAATAAAGGCAGTGTAGTGTTTTAAGTTTATGTATATAATAGTTCTTCCCTACTGTCCATGTCCTGCACACAGACTGGCTCATTTTATCCTCCCTGTATAACTCCTCTCCTCTGCCTTACTGAAAATGTCAGTCGGCCTCGATTAACTTTCATTTTGTGTTTGTGTCTTTGCCTCTCACAGAAAAACATAAATTCCTACAGTTAAAAAATGATGCATAAAATAATCTTTAGCTGTCAAATAATATTGAACTTCCTGGGTCCACGCTACAAGCTATATACATCAAAATACAGATCGCTATGATAGGAGCTTTTTCATATCAGGTTCTTACCTGATGAGTGGTTTGTTGGTTTGTTGGTTGGTTGATTCACCGGCTGTGGTCCAGGCAGGAGATTGTCGGCACCAGTTGGTGAAAATGTCTTCAGTGAAGGAAATTCTCTGAAGCTGCAACCTGCTGACACTGAGTTCCTTATATAATGTCCAGAAAAGACAATATACACAGGCTGTAAAGGAAGAGGCTGTCACCCGTCACAAATAGATCATACACTCTGTTTGCTGCTGCTTTGACCAAAGCGCAACTTTCTCTCCTGTGACCCAAGTTCTTGGTGTTAAAATGACAAACAGTGTCAAATACTAAGGAAACAAACAGGAAACAAATTAGACTGTGCTTTCAGCTGATTAGCACCTTTAACGTTTTTAAAACAACTTCCCACTTCATGCATAGTCTTAGTTGTATTTTTCCAGTACAACTTCCTCCTTTGAGCATACAATGCTCACACAATGAGAGAAAATCAAATACCTTAAACGCACATAGTTCAGAATAAGAGAAAACACAACTTGTCTAGTGTACTTACTCAGTACCAAAATCATGTTCTACTCCAAATGCATACCTGCTGTCTGTGTAAATGTTGGTGGTCTTTTCTGATGCCAACGTCCAGGCTTCAGTAAGCCTGTGCTGAGAACAACACCATGTCTGGATTTTAAAATGGTGTTTCCTGTAAATAAGATCTATCTTAATACTGCAACACAGTTGGTGAGGGGAGCACAGTAGCAGAGTTACAAGTAGTACAGTGTTTAACTATGATAAAAAATTTCAATTTTTGTGAAACCAGCGAGGTTAAACTCTAAATATGACATTAAAGTGAGAGCAGTTATTGTGTTTCTCCCACTGTAAGAAGACAGTGTTATAGTCAGTGATGCCTCAGCTAGAGAAGATTCACCATGTAAAGGGCTCAGAGGTGAAACTGCTTTACAACTTATTCAGAAAGAGTTTAATACCTGGAAGATAAAACACAACCTTCATCTGAATGAAGGCAGATTGATTCAGATATCGCTTACAGACAGTTCTGTTTTTAAGATACAAGTTTACTATGATGCAAATAACTCGGGTGACTCCATACTGTATATTCAAATCAACATTTTTCCCATAATCCCTCTTTCAAGTATACGATCACCTATTTAGAAGAATATCCAAATACAATACAAGTTTACAAAATCCTTAAAAGTACAACAGAGCATTTCATCTATTTCAGTATTTCATGATGCAAAACATATCAAACAAACGATCACCGAGGCAACTGAGCTGTATGAAGTTTTGCAAACCAAAAAAGAGAAAAACATTGACTTCATTTTCAAATAAATAAACATATACTGGAGTATTCAAGAAAACCTGTTTCTGAGTTATGTCAGCTCCCAGTTGTTTCCTCCAGTGTAGCAGCAGCAGCGCCCCTGCTGTCTGTACAGAGAAGTGTAAAGCTTACAGCACCTGGTATTCCCAGGCGGTCTCCCATCCAAGTACTAACCAGGCCCGACCCTGCTTAGCTTGCTTAGCGACATCGGGCGTGTTCAGGGTGGTATGGCCGTAAGCGAAGGTTCATATCACAAAGAGGCTATTTAAAGATGCTGTTATATGATGTAGTCTTATATTTTTATATGTAGATTGTTTCTAAACAAGATGAATAATTGTACAATAATATAAAATATCCATGATAACACACAGTGCATCTCCCTGTCATTGTTACATTATTATATATCATATTAAAGCATTTATCAACTCTGATGTATTACTATGGAAGCTGTATTTTCATGTTGTAGCTGCTGGAGGTGAAACTGCTTTAATTACTTTATATACTGTTGAGTAGTTTAATCTGGAAGATATCACATTAAAGTAGTGGAGTAGAAAATAAGAGGAACTACAAGTACCTCAAAATTGTACTTAAATAAAGTAACTGAGTAAATGTATTAGACTGTACTCAGTTGTATTGATGTAATCAGAACTTCTTACCCAGAATTTATAGAAATATTCTGATATTTGTTTTTATGTAAATACACTCAGATGTTCATCGACATCTTTAAATATGCTCTTTGTGATATCTTCCAGATTAAACTACTCAACAGTATATAAAGTAATTAAAGCAGTTTCACCCTCCAGCAGCTACAACATGAAAATACAGCTTCCATAGTAATACATCAGAGTTGATAAATGCTTTAATATGATATATAATAATGTAACAATGACAGGGAGATGCACTGTGTGTTATAATGGATATTTTATATTATTGTACAATTATTCATCTTGTTTAGAAACAATCTACATATAAAAATATAAGACTACATCATATAACAGCACCTTTAAATATCCTCTTTGTGATATGAATCTTCGCTTACGGCCATACCACCCTGAACACGCCCGATCTCGTCCGATCTCGGAAGCTAAGCAGGGTCGGGCCTGGTTAGTACTTGGATGGGAGACCGCCTGGGAATACCAGGTGCTGTAAGCTTTTACACTTCTCTGTACAGACAACAGGGGGCGCTGCTGCTGCTACTACTACACTTAATAAACACAGAAGATTTATTTTTCTTCTTTAAAAGGTCGAACAAAAAGTTAGGCTACAAATGGAGTCACTCATTAATCAGTTACATAAAATACAAATGTCAACTTAATCTCACTATTGTCAGCAGTTGTGCTTCAGATTAATTTACACAGAAATACAGAAATAAATTAGAAAATAGATTTATAGATATTTATGTTTTATGTTTAATTACCAACTTTTATTAATGTATTTGTACATTTAATAATGGATTATTTGTTTCTGGGAAAGTAAAGATATATATCACACTATTTTATTTTTACATAGATATACAAATAACAAAAACAATTATAATAAACATCAATATTAAGGCTATTATTATTATTATTATTATTATTATTATTATTTAGCTTTAAATAAAACTACGTATAACTAACATCAGTTTCTGGTTGTCTGTCTTTATGCTGGTGGAGTTGTTTGCTGCCCTCCAGTGGTCACAGTGAGGAACTACAACAAAGCGACACTCAAGTTAGACATGATCACATAATGATAACACTTCCGGCCACTGCTTTCAAAATAAATCCACAACCCAACTGAAAAAATCAGTAACTGATGAAATACCAGAAATTATTGATGTCTCTACACAAGAGGTGTCCGCATATTGTCCAAATATGTCTTTTAAATGAAGATACACCACTCTATATCATTATTAATGTTTGGTAAGATAAGTATCGGGCTGTATTTTTACCGGTAATAAAAAGAAGAACAGAGTGAAACGTCTGTTCTCCATAAACAACCTTTGTGATAACGTTAGCTAACTGTTAGCGAGCAGAAAACGTAAGATGGAAAGTTGTCTGACAAACAGCTGGTTTAACAGTTTATCATATTATTTTTTTATCATATCATAATATTTTAAACCTGCAATTGACAAAACCCGACACTGAGATCAACGTTGACGTCAGTAAAACAGTATGTCCCAAACAGGTATCCGTATTTGAGTCTGTCCGGTTGTCTGACGCTAAAGTTAGCTCAACCAGCTACAGAGAAATTGGTCCCATTTTTAAAGAAATTGGTTAAATTATCACTTACTACAGCTTAAGAAACATCTGAAGTGCAATAAAAAAAATGCAAGTACGATATACAAATGATTAATCTTTCACTACAACAGAAAAAAATATTAATTCTGTTCGTTTCTAATTGTGTTTGGTAACAGATTTATTTTGAAAGCTTTAACCGGAAGTTGTAGCATTGTTGTCATCTTATAATGTCTAACTTAACTTGATCACCTTGGTGTAGTTCCTCATTGTGGCCACTGGAGGGCAGCAGATACTCTTCTTCTTATTCAAGGGATCGTTAACAGTCAACAAAACGCAATACATTAGTACTAATACTTATGCTACATAAGTCATTTGTAATAATAACACTAATATTGACTTGTACACTTAAATATGAATAAAAGGCTGAGATTGTTAAATTATTCCTCAATAATTCAACTTTTTTTTGTCTTTTTTTTTTTTTAAAGTACCATAAAGGGAATTATATCTGAATTTAATCCGACAGCCTTTGCGTTATAAAGGACAATAAAATAACGTTGAATCTTTGTAATAAACCAGATTTATTGTAGTGTTGTAGTTCCTCGTTATGACCACTGGAGGGCAGCAAACACACGTTTCTAAATACGGTCAGTGTCAGCGGTCAGATCCAACAGTGTAAAGACAGACACAACACCATACAAACGTTTCCGGTAAACCCTTTCAAACTAAAACAACTGACAATAGTAAAACATAATCAACATTAATATTTAGGGTATTATTATTATAATTATTATTAATAATAACACAACACCAAGAGACTAAACACAGAAGCCCTTGAACCAAGAAGACACCAATGTCTCAAGAGTGTGTCACTGAATTGTGTAGATGGACGTTCAGAGGAAAGACTATAAAGCTCTAGAAAGGAGGGTCACAGTGTCTCTCTCTGTGGCTCCTGGTATAAGAAGTTCAATCCCTTTCAATGCTGTAAAGGACGAGAGGAAAAGGGAGAGAAACTGGAGGAAAATAAGATGAAGAACTGAAGTTTCTTGTGAGTTGTAAGGTCACTGAGAGGCTGAAAGGCCAAACAAACAAACAATCGGTCAAATTCACTCGAGTTACATGAGGTGAAAATAAAAGATTATTGTGAGAAGGAACATGGTGTTTTAAACTGTTGTTGTTGTTTTCTTGCTGTTATTGTCAGAGGAAATCAACGCCACCTGTTGATGAACATTCAGTGAAAGCGACAAGCGAACAGCCTCTCGAACAACAAAGCAGTCCCTTCAGAAAAACGCGATTATGCGATCACATAATTCAATGCATAATCAGCCAAAATACGCATATTTATGCGGGGGCTGCATTTTTTCAAATTCGCCGCATAAATTGCCGATTTCTGCGCAAAATGTTGGCTTGCATGATTTCATAATCCCTGCATTTTCGTTGCAAAAAAGTCACATATATCTTAGCAGAAAGTTGAAAAATTTTGCGTTTACTTCAAACAAGAGCAGCCATTTTCCCCTGTTGCCATGGGAACATTATGAAGTGACATAATTACGTGACGTGAACATCATCGAAAAGCTGCAAACCCCGCGATGAAGCCATGATGAAGCCCGCAAATCAGTCTCATTTTCCAACAAAAAGATTGCACTTTTTTGTTACCAGTGGGATAAATCATACTAGTTTCAAAAACCTTACAGTTGTAAGTATATTAGTAGTATGTAAATGTACGTTACAGTAAGAGATTGCACTTTGTGCATTGGAAGCACTTATTTTAACAGAAGATGTCTGTTTTGTATAGCTACCTCTGTAAAACAGGAAGCACACATTTTTTTTTTTATATTTTATTTATTCATTTTTACAGAAGTTGGAGCATATTCCTTTTGTAAAGCTACAGAACTTGTTTGACTCATCAATGTTTTGTAAGTTTGAGCCATGTGTTTATTAAGGTCTGAAATAAAACAAGATGAGAACTTAAATATTCCCAGCACTTTCTGTGAT